GTTCGCCGGTTTCATAAAAATTTGTTCCGCAGCACAAACTGTTAGTGTCCGGAAATTGAAAAAGACTGATGGCTTTTTCGCCGAAGCACAATTCGTTTAACATAGTGACAGTCTTTAATCATTTCCAAAATCATCTACTCTGGCTATTATTTTCGCAGTAAACGCGCATGTAACGTCGATGTTGTAAACTAATGCAAACTGACTTATTAATCACGAGTCTCAGAAATTTGTGAAAAGGAGAAAAATTCACTGAATAAAGATCACCAGTGCATTCGTCAAATAAAGAAAGTCTTAAAAATTTAAACACAAAAGCCATTTTTCGATGTAATATTCAAATCTCTCTGATGACTTCGAGAGCTTTTTAATGAAATTCCTTCTGAGTGGTGCGGAAGGAAAAGAGCAAACTAGATTGCACTTCGATCTCGGCTACCGCGTACCTGCGGTAAGATTAAACATTTCTGGATAAGGACCACCGAAGTTTTATAAGTCGAACTTGGAGATAAAACTATTAAATTGTGTGCTTTAGACGCCGTCAGACAAAGTATTATGCAGCGAATGTTTTATCGGCACAACAGAGTTACCGACTACCTCTTCGAAAGCCAGCTACTTTCAGAAAGACGTTACAAACTTAGCGCAGAGAAACGAAATTTTCCTTTCTTTTTTGAAGCAAAAGACTTAGCACACGTGCCGCGTGCGCGCGTTAAAACAGCAGAAATATAAATTAAGTTGCACTTAGAAAAGGAAATTGACTCGAAAGTATAATTTATACAAATATTTTAATTTGTTTGAAAAAATTACATTTATATTAAAACTATATTATATTATTTTCTATCGCATTTATATGCATACACTCGAAAGAACTGTTCCTGAATGGTGGCACAGGTTGTGTGAAACGATAGAAAAATTGCAATCAATTCAGTTAACTACAGATATTTTATAAATGTTATTAAACTAACTGCATTACCGCATATTATTGCTGTTTAATAACTGCGTGCCGCTGTAATTGTTGCGTTGAATGTGAGTGAAATGGTTCATTTTAACACATTGCTTGTTCAAACAAAATCGTTCTAACGCAGAAGAAGTGGCAATATTGAATCATCAATGATATTATTTGTGTATTCGTTGTATTTAAAATGGTAGAAAATGAGAGATAGGAAAAAAGAGAATGAAGAAGAGTAAAATGAGAGAACGAGGAGCAGGAGGAGGGAGAAAAGAGAGTATAGCTTCGTTTGCAATCGACAGCGAGACCATTAATCAGTGCAAACTTGATTAAGAGTCGTGATATGCCGACCTCCATTCTCTCTTTCTCTCTCTTTCGCGAACGAGGAATTTTGGGATTTAATTTAATCTCATTTACTTTCGTTACATCGTTGCTTCGCGGCAATGTAATTGAAACGTTACTTGGGTTATTCTCAGATAATTTTCAGTATATGCCACGTGAAATTTTAGATCGACAAAAGTTTTTGAACGAGCGAAATTCTCTGGACAACTGAAACTTATATTATCAAATTTATAACGACGTGTCGCTTTAACTTTGCGAAAAGTGAGATATACTTTCTTAACGAAATTTACAAAATAAATTACATTCGTCGATATTTACTCGCATTTATCACAACGCAAAAGCTTATAAGCAAGCATAATTATAGAAACTTGTTTACGAAGATAAATTCAAACGTAAAAATTTCGAACGAAAATTTTCTTCCTTTAACAGACAGTCGCGAAATCTTTTTCGGGTCGCCGAAGACGATCCACGAACGTCACAAGAAGCATTTTTGCAGCTTTTTTACAGAGAAAAGTTAGATTGCTAACAGTAAGAGGTTTCCGACACTCGTCAGGGTCATAGACGATCAATGAAAAAAACTTTTATCGTGAGACGTATTTTTTTAAGCAAGTCAGCAAAGTCGTATGCTGATATGTAGCACAATTTCATTATTTTTTAGTTAGTTATTGAATTATTTTTTTGCATTTTCAGGATAGTTTTATATTTGCTAATATTAACGAAAATTATAACAAAAATTTTAGCGACTAACTCTACATTTTGGATTTTCTTTATATCAATGTTTATATTTGTGCTCTTTTATGTTAGGCTTCGTGATCAGAATATGAAACGTAAAGAAGTAAATAAATTTGAATATAATTTTCGATGTATTATCGCTGACTCTATCTTTTTCTCCAAATTGAAATAATTGAAATAATTTTAACGCTTAAAGCAGATATATGAAATGTTGCGATATTCCGCGATTCGCAAACATTATCATCAGCATTATCAAGAAAACGTGCCATGAATGCAATATCTATGACGCATATATGATAATCTAAAGACCTGATTAAAATTAATGTTAGCTGAGGTTTATAAAAATTATATGCTCCACTTGCACTTTAGATAACGAGTGGAAAAATTACTATTTGCGACGTTGTTTTACGAAGCGTTGCTGCGTAAAAAGGAAATAACACACACTTCGTCAAAACAGCAACAAAGGAGTAAAACGGAATGAGAAAGTAATAAAGTGTAAAAATATTTTTTATACGCGGGAATTGCAACAGTGCGAAGTAAAAATAATAGTGCTTCTCGCGGCAATAATGTTACTTTTAGACGCCCGCCTAGAGAGTAGAATAGTCCAGGTTCAAACCCTGGCTGAGGTAATATTTTTCGCAATAAATTTTCTGTATTAAAAACACTGGCCGGTTAATGTCGATTAAAAAAAGCTTGATTATTGTTATCTATTACTGGCAACTTAAAAGGATTTCAATGTTACTTTTACTTTATGTACGTATACACAGGGAAGCCTCTTAAAAACCTTCATGCCAAACTTTTCCTTTCGCGTTACGTTATCTTGCATTATGCAGATATATTTTTCCCTTAAAAGAAAAAAATTAATGCGTATTTATTCCTAGAATAACTTTGTCTTGTGGCATCTTAACATTTTAATATGGAATCTCATATAATTGAAAGCTGTGCATAAGAAATCGTTGGTGCTTTTAATAACGGAATTTTATTCCTATGTCTTATTGGCAGTAAAGTGTACTGCAATTTTTTCCAAATGATCTTGGCGCCGCGAACATTTGTAGTTTCACCACCATTTTACAGTCGTAGTAAATTACGTCTTGTTTCAACGCTTTACCCATTTTACTACGGGTGAATATTTTCTCAGCGGAGCGCGTCAACTGCTTCGCTGTACTACATCGAATGCTATTCTTCGTTAGGTAGCGATTAAATTAATTATTTCGAGGTACGAACTGTGAATTTCATTTATGTACATATACATCTCTTGTAGCTGACAAGTTGTAGATTGCAACGTTTGTTAAAAAAATTATGTGACGTTAGGAAAACATTTTGAGAGATAATCTTCTGCGAGGATCTTGTGCATATTTTATGTAAATTCAGTTTAAGCATTTTATATATGTGTTTTACTTATAGTGTACTAATTAGAATTTTTAGACAATGTGCATTTTGTTGACGGGTTATAATAATAATAATTATATTATCGATAATGTATAAAGGTATGTTGAAATATTTAGATTATGCAACAGAAAATTGTGCACGATAATCCGATTTTCTTTTCAATGTAGTACATACATTTACAATGTAGATAAAGTTTTGTTTTAAATTAAATTTTTATTACGCTTTTTAAAATTTGGACGGAATATTTAAATTCATTTACGAATATTTTGTATATATTATTCCTTTTTATTTCCGAGATACGATTAGCGAATAATATAATTGTTATCTCTCGAATTAGAGAGTATTGATTAATACCCGTGCAAACACCTACGCCCGTGCTAGCCTATATATACTCGCTTGAATTTAAACAGTTACGTCGCTCCGTCATCTTTAAATGAATTATTTATTATCTTACAAGGGTTATGCGCTCTCGATAAATAAAATAGTCGTTATTTATATTCACGATCCACAGGCATGCCATGGCATATTCAGGACAAGCTTGAGTATAAACTGACTTTATAGCTGCATAGCGCAAGTATAAGATGTCCTTCAAGATGTCGCCTTATATCGCGTTTTCCCAAGCTAATCTTGAAACACGTCAGGTTTATTTTATCTGGCTATCTCAAAAGGAAATTTCATAGAGACGTTTTGGGAATATAGCGTAAAGCATGTCCCATGTAACACTGATAGCTCTCATAAATTTTTAGTTTACTTTCTCAGTGTTGTCAAGCTCAAAATTAATTGCGTCGTGCGTCTTGCTGCTGAAAACCCGACGTGCTCTCATATATTTTACTAGCTCTTGTATCTGCATGTTTAACGTCTGACAAATGTTGCGCGATCTTGCGCGGATTCAGTCCTGAATCAAGGATTATGCTGAGAGAAGCTGATGTCAAATAGTCGAAGCACGAACATCATGTCGTCTCCATCCACGGAGGCACAGTGGATAGTGTTAAGTGTGAGACAGGAGCGTAAGCAGTTAATAAATCTCAAGTTTCACTTCCGCAGATACACTCTTTACTCGTGAAAACTTTCAAGGTTGACCTAACGTTTCAACGATATTTAAATGCCACTTCGTATCACGCAATGAGTTATCCGAGATTTATATTCAGGACACTAGATTACGCAGGGGGTTTAGTTAATTTCGCACATTACAGAAAGAAATTACAGTGTCCGTCAGAACTTGGGGAAACTCCATTATTTTCATGAGAAGTTACGAGAAGCGGATCCGACATTTTTCTGATATACACATGTATGTACGCAGCAAGTTAGAGATAGTCAAACTCGAGGGGAACCGCTGAGGGCATTGTGGTGTACAGATTTGCGGCATTACTGGGCATTACGAGGCATTTTTGGGCATTATAAAGATAAAATAAGATAATAAGATAAAGTAATTCCCACTGGGCATTGGTGTACAAGATTTTGGTCGGCGGTTTCCCCCTCGGTTAAACCTCTAGATTGGACACTACGATAGATTAAGAAATTGTGGCGTATCATTGACAAATCAATCTTCATCGGACATGCGAAAAGACTGATATTTTTCTAGCTAGAATTCACTCACCTTCCATAGTCATATTATCTCCCAGTTTCATCTCGATAGATGTCCTCTTTCCCGCACACTCACGCGGCGCTGATCAAGCGCCGATTAATAGGATCGTTCGACACTGACTCCCTAAGCTTCATTTTTTTCTCGCTTTCTCACACTTAATCTCGATCCGACGACTCGATTACCTCGTCCGCCGCGTTTATTCGCGGGCACTCGTTGATTTGTCACGTGCACTTGTCACTCGCGCGTAGTCTTAATAATCGTGCGATGGACCATAATTCGGACTCGTTAATCGATGCTCTCCGCGAAGCGATTTCAAACCGTCGATTGGGACCTCTATACCGATTT